GCTTAACGGCTGAGCCACCCAGGCGCCCCTCAATAACAATTTTTTAAAACGTTCTAGCTTTCATATCAGCACAGAAGTCAAGGGAAGAAATGAAAATAAATAATTTCAGCCCTAGCTTCACTATTCTGGTTTACAGAATGGCTCAGATCTATTTATATTGGAAAATATGCAGAGTAAAACTTTTAATAGATTATTTTGGTAATGGTCCTGTTTTTCTTTATCTTTTGTTAGATTTCTTAGGCAATCAGTTTCCCAGTGACCAACTGAAATCTTTATGTTAATGTCATTTCTGTGAAAAACAAGGGAAAATGCTCTCCAGTCTGAGTAATTTTATGAGTTTTTGTGCAGTTGCCTTTTTCTTTTCTGTATCTTAAGGCAAAATGGTGGCCCCTCCCACCAAACTCCCAATTTTATTCATTGTTTTTTTTGTAAAGTATAAATGTTAAGGGTTTCAAAGTCTTGCACATTGAAATTGTGACCCTATGTTCTTTCATTCTTTTTAAAGTTTATTTAGATGAGAGTACTTTTTAAGATGTCACTTTTATTAGATATTACATCTGTAAGAGTGGTGTCTCTGAACTGCCTCAGTTTCTCTTCTCTGGTCCAACATACAGGATTATCTCCCAAAGACTACAAATTATGTAAACATTGGGACCAAAACTTTACCTTATTTCAAGTAGCCATTGTGTTTTAGTGTTAGTTATAGATCTCCATATGTTTATTTTATAGATGATAAAATTAACTTGTGGTTATGATATAAATTCCCTATCTAATATTATTTATTGAATAGGTTGAATTCAGTAAAAATTGAATCTTAGTGCAAAAAACTGATCTTACATTATTGTATATTGACTCTGTACACTTAATTGGCTCTTTATAGGAGACCCCTGTGCTTACCCGAATAGAAAAACAGAAGCGCAAAGAGGAGGAGGAAGAACGTCAAATTCTTCTAGCAGTGCAGAAGAAGGAGCAGGAGCAGATGTTAAAGGAAGAGAGGAAACGAGAGCTGGAGGAAAAGGTCAAGGCAGTGGAAGGTATGTGGGCTTTCTGCACAGTACATGTGGTATGGGAATAGCCCTCCTCTGGCCAAAGCGAAATCAAACTAGGTTCTATCCTAGATCTAAGCTACTTCCGACAATTTCTATTTAAATGTCTTGTTAATTGCACTTTTTCTTGTTTATTCTTCTGGATCCAATCTCATTGCATGTGCATTCCTTCTGCACACTTGTATTTGTTATTCTTGGTGTTCCTTTCAGTTTTACCACTTATTGCCCTCATCTGCGTACATCCCTCATGTAAAATAGAAAAAAATATTAAAGTATTGATGACAAGTTTCATAGAAATAAATTTAAGCACAATTGAAATGTGTAAAGAAAAATCTTAAAGATTTTTTTTTCAAGTATGGCACTATACAAATCTAGATTACTACCATTGATTTTTTTTTCTTTTTTTATTTTTTATTGTTATGTTAATCACCATACAATACATCATTAGTTTTTGATGTTACCATTGATTTTTTTTTTTTTTAAAAGATTTTGTTTATTTATTTGAGAGAGGGAGAATGAGAGAGAGAGAACACATGAGAGGGGATAGGGTCAGAGGACGAAGCAGGGAGCCCGATGCGGGACTCGATCCAGGGACTCCAGGATCATGACCTGAGCCGAAGGCAGTCGCTTAACCAACTGAGCCACCCAGGCGCCCTACCATTGATTTTATTAGGACAAATCCTTTTTCTCAGACTTGGGTCTAGGTTTTGGTCTTAGATTTCTTTTTCATTTGCAGTTAATACAAAGATAATAACTGTCCCTAGATGTATGAGATAGCAGTTGTATTTATAAGCTAAACCGGATAAATCATATGGTAACAAATCATCAGCTTAGTTGAATACAGACTAGTATTTCTTCCTTTCAGGTAAATTTAGTGAATTTTTAAATTTTTGAATAAAACTGCACAACCTGGATTTGACTTTTTAATGCAGTGTTTCAGTGCAAAATTTAAATAAATTTTGGCTGTAAAATTTAAAGGATTCTGGCCTTATTGTATGCGTTTTTCCCTCCCATTCCTAAGTAGTAGTGCCTTCTGTTTGTTCATAGGTTAGCCCCATTCCTACTGTGATCACTTCTTCATTATAAAATCCTTACTTAGTGCATTTAATCTACAAATTTAGGCTGTGCGACAATATGTAGTATATCCTACTTGTAAAATGTTTCATAGGTTTCATTTCCAATGCTAGATTTAAATTCTCAAGATAGTAACTATGGCTTTAATTTTGTATAGTTTTTAAGGGGACTCTGTAATTTTCAGTGTCGTTTTTTATTTGCTACACTGTTCTCATTTGACTTTTATACAGACAGGTTCAAAACTTATTTTTTTATGGTTTAAACGTTTCTGTACCTGTAAGATTAATAATACCTATGTTATAGATTGTTCTTTAAGTCAACAAATACATTTTGATCACCCATTCTGTGCCAGGCTTTGTTCTAGGAATATAGATATTAAACAAAAGAAGTTAATCCTTTCATGGGGCTTACATTCCAGTGGTGGGAAAACAGAACAAACAGATATTGTAGAATCATATTTGGAGGTGAAAGATCTAAAAAAAAATAAAACAGGTTTAGAGATAAAGAGTGACATGATGTCGGTGGCATTTAAATAAGCTTGTCAAGAAAGCCCTCTCTGAATATGTGACATTTCGTAATGAAGTGGATGCAGGTGCCATATGAACATGTGACGGGGGAAGACAGAGGAAACAGCAGGTGCACAGGCCCTGAGGAAGGAATATGCAGGAGGAAGGCCAGTACGGACCAAAGAGCAAAGCAAGGAAAGATGGGCAGGAAATGAGTTCACAGAGGTAACCAGGGGTCAAATCACGTAGGGCTGTGCAGACCTTGTTAGAGGGATTAAATAAAAGACAGGTAGTCCCTAGCACACAGCAAGCTCACAAATGATAGTTATCATGGGGAAAATGTGGAGAGAATTTTTACAGGCTATAAAATAGTTACAACAATAAATTTTTCCTGAATTCTTGGAAGCTAAATAAAATAGGCAGAGGCAGTAATGGATTTTTTTTTTTCTTTGAGAGAGAGCATGCAAGTACAAGTCGGGGGTGGGAGGAGCAGAGGGAGAGGATGATAGAAATTTGAGCATACTCCGCATTGAGAATGTATTAAGTACAAAAGGCACAAGCCACAAAGGGAGGGAGATTGATAATGTTTTACTACATGAATTGTTTAAAACTTACATAAACACCATAAACAAAATGGAAAGACGAGTCAAAGTAGAAGCTAATTTTAACACATAACCATCAAAGACTTATTATCCAGATTCTTTAAAGCACTTCTCTAAATCCATTAGAAATGCAGCAACCCAAAGGAAAAGGGCCAAGTATTTATAAGCAGGAAATTCACACAAGAGAATGCTAAATGGTCAGTAAACATGAAAATATGTTCAATATCACTCGAGTCAGGAAAATGCAAATGAAAGCATCAAAATTCCTTAGCAATACTTATCAGTTGGGCAAAAATGCTAGTTTTATCATACCAAGTAAGTGTGAGATAACTCCTATCACTATGGAAAGAATAGCTGTACCCCTTTGGAAAGCACTCTGGCAATTCCACTGCTAGGCGTACATCCCAGAGAACACACACATGTGCCTGAGAAGGCGTGTCAAAAGAATTGTCATTATATTATTTACAAGATGCAAAAAATTGCAACCAACCAGAAAGCACTACTGTATTAAGGTTACTAAAGCAAAAATGTTAAAATCTGACAGTTTGTTAGGTTTATGGATATTCATTAATTGTTATACTTTAATCTTGAAATCATTTTTTAAAAAACAGTATAGCAAAGTGCCTTTGACTAATTAAAGCAGATATAAATTTAAGTTTATAAGTGATAGTGTAAGAATAAAAACACAAGTCAAACAGAACTAGACAGAGAAAACACTTAGCAGGGTCATGTCATACTCCTAGCCAGGGTACAGATGTGGAGCCTGTCCCTTAGGGAAGAAAATAGAAGATGTGTCCTGCCTTCTCCCTTCCATGTTTATGTCTTCTGTCTGACAGTGTTCTTTATCTCCCTGCCTCTTCTTTCCTCCTTACCTTCCGGCTCCCTCTGGCAGTGAGTGTCCCATCAGGCCAGTAGTGGAATGCCAAGTGTGTTTCTCATGGCTAGGGCTAGAGCCAGAAAAAGATCATCCCTGTGTTCCAGCTCCTTGCCAGTTCCAGCTGGCATCTTTCTCTTGTTCCCAGCCAAATTTATGACTACCCCTGGCTTGGTAAGGGCCAGCTGCCAGTGGTAGGGGTGGATTGAAGAGCAAAGACAATTGGTGTGCAAGGATGCCTTTGTAAATACAAAACCCTGAGAGCTTAGATATGCGTATAAAATTCTGTATATGTTTGGATTGAAAGTCTGGTCCTTAAAAGGGGGATGTTGTTTTTCTGAGAGAAAGATTGGAAAGGCCTCAGGTATTCAAAGAAGGATAATCTTCATTCAATCTTCTATTTTTTCCTTTTTTTTCTAGTTCTGTTTTTCTTCATCCTTGCTCTTTCCTCCCTCTCCTTCCCAGTGCCCTCCCTACCACGCTCATCCCTCCCCAGCCCTTGAGCTCAATATGCATAAAGGAAATGGGTTCCACAAGTTTATATTTTTCATAAAGCTGTAGAATCATCCTAATTACTAAGAGGATGGCAAAAGAAGCAAAAATAATTTTATGATATAGGTGATCTTTGTTTCTTTCCTTTCTCAAAATGATTAACACACATCTAATCTAATCATCTAAAGAGTGCTTAACCTCACTTGTACCGTAATGCACTGTGTTCATTGTAGATCGAGCGAAGAGGAGAAAGCTCAGGGAAGAAAGGGCATGGCTGCTGGCCCAAGGAAAGGAGCTCCCCCCAGAACTTTCCCATCTGGACCCTAGCTCCCCCATGAGAGAAGAAAAAAAGACTAAAGACCTGTGAGTACTTAATGATACCAACAGTAGCCGCCAGTAACATTTGCGAAGCACACTGGCATTGTGCTAAGCACTTTTCTCATTTAATTCTTAAAACAACCCTTTGTGGTAGGTAATAGTCAGTGTTTATGAGCTTCTCATTCTTCTGTATGCCTTTTTGTATTATTATTCTTTAGGTTACAAAAATATTCATTAGGGTAAAATAAAACCCAGGAAATAATGTGCTCTTAAATAACCAGCGTTACTGAATCATAAATTAAGTTGTGGATCATCTAAGTCAACCCTATCATTTTACAGATGATGAAAATGATACTCCCTCTTTTTTTTTGCTTAGGCTTGCTAACCTTCATCTTCATAATTATTTTCTAGAGAATATTTTTCTATATATATTCTAGAGAATATAATTATTTTCTAGACTGTCTAGAGACAGTCCCAATGAACTGTCCCAAACCTTGGTGTAATCAGCTATGTGTCTGTGATTGAATTAAGAGAGCTAAGGAGAGAAGGTGGTCAAAGTTACTCTTTCTTATTTTGTGATTCACAGCTTTGAGTTGGATGATGATTTCACTGCCATGTATAAAGGTCAGTTCCCATTCTCAACTATTATTATTTCTGATACAAGTACTCCAGTCAAGTGCATTAATTAAGCTCTTTTCTTTGGCTTTCAGTTCTAGATGTGGTAAAGGCTCACAAGGATTCCTGGCCCTTTTTAGAACCTGTGGATGAATCGTATGCCCCAAACTATTACCAGATTATTAAGGTAGAGGCTACCTTTGCAGTTATACTTACTATGGTGTTTGTTTCTTTCTTGATTTTTGTTGCTGGTTTTTGTTTTAAGTTCACCTGTTGTTCCTTGAGAATCAGTTGCTGGATATATGCCAGGCAGTGGCATGATTCCTTTGCCTCATAAGTACTACGAGATGTTTTTCCTCCAGCATGTTGTAATTTAATGTGTCCTGTTTTAGGTCCCCATGGATATCTCAAGCATGGAGAAGAAACTGAATGGAGGTTTATACTGTACCAAGGAGGAATTTGTAAATGACATGAAGACTATGTTTAGGAATTGTCGAAAATATAATGGGGAAAGTAGTGGTAAGTGGGGAAGGAGTTTGCTATGGATACACTTACTATATACCATTTCAACCAAGAACAAAATACCTTCTTTTTTAGAAATACACAAAAATAGAGAAATGATTCAGACCTTTCGTTGGGGCTATAAACAAAGCGTACATTTAAAGCCATGGGATTGGCCATTCTGACCACTTAACACAATATGTGCCAGAACCGCTCCTATCCTTTGTGACAAAAGAATGTATCTGTTGGCTAACTGGGCTCAGGTTATTTTTCATTGTCTTAGAGACCAGTCTGGGTTTAGTTTGTACTGCACAGAGACCACTAACCACTGACAAGACTGACCCTAGATTCTTAAATCATCTTGAGAAGTCCGTAGAGTAGATCTCTAATAACAAAGCATGTATGGCTCCAAGTATAGAAACTTGGAGTCATTTATACAGTAGCTCAAATGGTTTAGCTTAAAAACTAAGCAGCTTTGGGGTGCCTGGGCATCCGAGTCTTGATTTCGGCTCAGGTCATGAGATCAAGCCCTGCGTCCAGCCCTGCATTCAGCAGAGAGTGTGCTTAAGATTCTCTCTCTCCCTCTCGTGCCCCCAGTTTCGCTCTCCCTCTCAAATAAGTAAGTCTTAAAAAAAAAAAAAAAAGACAGAACTAAATAGCTTCAATGACTGTATTTAATAATTCTGCCATTTAGCCTTAAAGAATTAAATCTGTCTTGCTTTAAGTTAATAGTCCTAGAGTCCTGTTCCAGCCATATAGCCTAGAGCCTCTTAGGACAAAAACAGTACCTTCATATTGTGTCCATAGCTACACAACATAATATCACTCGGGTTGAGGGGCACCTGGGTGGCTCAGTTGGTTAAGCGACTGCCTTCGGCTCAGGTCATGATCCTGGAGTCCCGGGATCGAGTCCCGCATCGGGCTCC